AATGTGAGGTCTCATAATCCACCTCCCTTGGAGGCCGAGTGTCCTTGCTGGTACATAACTCGGTGTCTAACTCTAACACCATTTGTAAGAACTCAAGCCCACCGTTAGCAGATATTTCCATTTTGGTCCGTTACATCTCGTCGGCATCAGACTCAATTTTAAAATGCTTATACTAGAGAGAGGTTTCTACACCCTTGTAAAGAATGTTTCGTTCTCCCCATTTCCCTCTGATTTCCTCATTTCTATGCTTTTTTCCTCCACGAAATTAAGACCTTCGAGAAATTTTCCTCAACCCAAATTTTAAGTGCAAGTCATCAGCTTGCGTTGGCTTTTTTCCTCCACGAAATTAAGACCTTCGAGAAATTTTCCTCAACCCAAATTTTAAGTGCAAGTCATCAGCTTGCGTTGGTTACATCCTTGCTCTTTGTACACACCGTCCGTCGCTCCTACTGATTGAATGGTCCGGTGAAATGTTTGGATCGTGGCAATCCTACTAATTGAATGGTCTGGTGAAATGTTAGGAGAAGTTATGAACCAACTAATCCATAAATATTTTCATTTATAGGTTAGATTAATTGGGTTTTTGGTGTTACCTCTAAAAAAAAAAAATCCTATTTATATCCAAAATTAAACCTATGGGCCATGTATTTGTATTAGATGTTATGGGCCGGCCCAATGATTCCGGCCCATCTCTTCAACTCCGTCTTCACCAAAGGTCGACGACGCTTTCTCCAAGCGAAGAACAGAGAAAGTTCAGAGTGAAAGAGAGCTTCCATGGGACAGTGGAGAAGCATAGTAAAGGAGGCAATCGATCGCACAGCCATTATAGCCAAGTTCCTCTGCTTGCTTCACGTTACCAACAACTATCTCTGTTCTCCGACTCTGGTCTGTACTTCTCTCTTACTCCTTCCTCTTCCTCTGCCACAATTTGTCTCCTATTTCTTCCTTTGATTCATATGGAAAAAATTAATTTCTGGTGGTTTCAGGTGTACGGTCCTAGCATGCTTCCGACCTTGAATCTGACCGGCGATGTTCTTTTGGCTGAACGTGTGTCGCACCGAGTGGGCAGGGTTGGCCCCGGCGACGTCGTGCTTGTTCGATCTCCTCTGAATCCGAGGAAGACCTTGACGAAGCGCATTGTGGGTGTTGAGGGGGATAAGGTCAATTTCTTTCCGGACCCTGCCAATTCCAATAGGTGTCTGACGGCTGTGGTATGGATTGACGGACCTGAATTTAGTTATCTTAATTTGAAATTTGAAAATTCGTTTTGGTTTTGATTTTTGGTTTCTTGGTGTTGTTTGATTTGTTTCTTTGTTTAGTTTTTCTCTTTCTTTTTTGGGGTGGATGCTTAGGTTCCGAAAGGTCATGTGTGGATTCAAGGAGATAATATGTATGCTTCTAGTGATTCGCGGCATTTCGGACCTGTACCTTATGGTCTGATTGACGGGAAAGTGTTTTTGAGAGTAAGATTTATCAATCATCTTCATCATTACTTCTGCTTTTATTAGTTTTCCCTTCTTTTATGTTGTTCTTGGCATTGTTTTGATCATTGTTTACTTATGTATTAGTTTTCCCTTCTTTTATGTTGTACTTGAGGAATGAATTGTTTTGATCATTGTTTACTTATGTTTCTTCCTTCAATGGTTGTTATCCTTGAGTTTCCAAATGTTGGTTGGATGGGCTTTTAGTATAACGGGTTTGTTTGCCTTTTTCTATGCAATCATTTATTTTAATGTTACATTACAAATCTGTTGGAAGAGATTCAAACTGACGACCTTGTGGGGGTCTTAATGCAACCACTTGATTGTGTAATTGTTTACTTGCTATATGCATCGCTATTCATGCAGCTGGTTTTTGGGTACTTGAGTTTGAAAATTTTGGATCTTGAGAAATTTCTGATCTCGTGGTTTTTCTATTCACTCATGGTTTATAATTTGGATCTTGTTCTAGTTATTTAAGAAGTCAGCAGGATTATGAAAGTTCTTTCTAATTACATGGGGATAATATCTTTCTTCTGTTCATTGGAACTTTGCATGGTAGCTTTTTTCTAGACTCGTATACATTTCTCCCTCATTTCTTTATCTTTCTTGAATATTTCTTTGTTCTTCTGATGTTAGGTCTGGCCACCAGATTGCTTTGGACCATTGGAACACTGAACTCAGATTGGCCTAATTTAAAAGATAAATTGCTGGTATTACGTTAAGCTTAGTTTTTCCTTTCTCATTGTAACTGTTGTCCTTTTGGCTATCTGTTTATAGGATTAGGTTTATTTATTTACCATTCCTTTACGTCTAAAAGAGTTAAAATCTAATATAATTATTTGTGGGATGGAATTTAGTGTACACATTTCTGTTTTGACCACTAATTCTAATAGATATCGTAGTCTCTTCACTTCACATCAGATTCTTGATGGACTGGCCTAATGAAGTTCTCGATTGATAAAAAAAAGAAAACAAAATTATACAGCTTTTGAATAGCTCTTTCTTCAAAGGAAAAGATACCGAGATATGAGATGATGTTGTAATGGCGATTTGATCGAATCTATGGTCAGATAGGAAGTATATAATTTTTAGAGGTATTTGTAAGGTGTGGAGGGAGGTGTTTGATCTTGCAAAATATAGTAGTTCTCGTTGGGTTTCATAGATAAGATGTTTAAAATCTACTCCTTTTGGGTTACTTTTTCAAATTGGGGAGGCTTCTTGTATAATTCTTGAATGGGCTAGTGACTTGTGTTTTGGGAACTTATAAGGTTCTTGGGTGGTTCTTGCAAAAAACGGATAATGCTTGGCTCGTGCAAGTATTGAGCTATACAAGATGGTCTTCAATCTAGAAGAAGGTTTTGTAGTCTGTTTATGATGAACAAAAAGTTCAAATGACAATGGAATTGTGTAGCAGTGATGGTTTTTCACAGAATGGATCTTAGAGGAAGGCAGAGGAGGTAAAGGAGTATCTCTCTTTCTTTTCATAGGCAAACCCATGTTGAAGAAATATGTTGCGAGAGATCTTGAGAGCTAGAAGGGATCTTGAGAGCTAGAAGTAAAGTCTAAATAACTCCACATGAGAGTTGGAAATCTTGAAGTAGAATAAATTTTGATATTCCCAAAAGAATCATCATTTTGACCATATAACCTATGGTTACAAATTTTGATGTAGGTAGTAACCGTCCAAGTCGACCCCTAGCAGATATTGTCTGTTTTGATCTGTTATATATTGCAAAGAGTATTTTATAAGGGTATAGAAACCTCTTCCTAGTAGACACATTTTAAAATCGTGAGATTGACAATAATGCGTCACGGGCTAAAGCGGACAATATCTATTAGTAGTGGGCTTGGGCTATTATATAAACTAACTTTACTGCTTCACGGTTTTAAAACGCATCTATTAGGCTGAAGTTTCCACCCCTTATAAGGAACGTTTCGTTCCTCTCTCCAACCAATGTGGGATCTTCCATATAACTTGTATCCATGAAGATAAAGAACAATAGAGTTTATTGTTTGCTTCGGTTTAGTTAAATTTGAGAACGTTTCTGAAGTGTTTTCTAATGGGAGTAGTATTATTTTTTGTACTCCACATGAAATTATGACAGGAAGCATCTCTTTCAAATGCGTTGCTGACAACGGGGGGGATCTATGCTTCACTTCTTTGGCAGGTGATCCATTTTGGCATTGACATATTTCTCTGTGCTTTTTTAATTTTCAGGACTTCATTTTGTGGCCATTTTAAATGAGCTATTGCTGAGACCTGGGCCTAGTCCAATATTACATCTTTGCCATTGATCCTTACTTCAATAGCTGTTACTTCTTTGTTAGTAGGTTCAGATTGATCTAAAAGGATATAGATTTCCAGATTTTGCATTTTCAATCCATGTAGAGTTCATGTTTCATTTTCACAATCGTAAATCGCAATAAGCTTATTTAATTTTAGTTGTTTTAGTTCAAGCCTTGTAGGGTGGGAATTGAATCTCCTTTGAGATGGGAATCCTTTGAGATGGTAAACCATGCCTCTATTCATTGAGTTAGGCTTAGAATAAGAAATCAAACTTATTCGAACGATGTAAATCTTATCTCAACCAATTTTTTTTAGTCTTTGCTGTGGGAATGCGTTGTTAAATGTCCGATATCGTCTTTCTAATGAGTCTATTTGAATGTCTTTTTTTACGTCATATTAAGAATGGCATGTTCCATTAGTGTTTAAGGAATGTTATTGATAGAAGGCAAAAAAAAAAAAAAAAAAAAAAAAAAAAA